GTGTATTCCATTACTACACAAATGTAGGCAACACTCTTAGCTTGCATAATAATTCAATCATAAAGAAGAATAATGAGTTTATTTAGTACCAAATAACTTAACAAAACAACAATGTTGTGGTGCTAATATAAGCTAGTATATCAAGTTAGCAATTTAAACTTATTTACAAAGCTTAAATGTGTCTTACTTGATCCCGGACTAATAAATATTTGGCATGACCTGAAAGTTCGACTTGAGCCTAACCTGAAATTTTCAGATTATGGTCAACCCGTTTCACAAATGGGTCGGGTTCAGGTTCCAGGATTTGACCCATTTGAAAAAAAGGGGTGCGGTTCGGGTCAACCTGCTAACCCAAAGTTGACATGAATTATAAATATCTAAATTTTTAGGGGCTTAGAGGCGTAACACTTACATTCTTGCATATTAAAAAATCTAACTCCAAATTCCTCCTACTTCTAATTTTCAAGTAACGTAAAAAATACCAACACACTCTTCTATACTATTTAACTTGCAAGCCTTTTTCCCAAATACCTATGAAGGTGACTCGGATGATAAATTCAACATACATTGAAGTATGTCTCATATTTTATAACAACTTCCTTTTGACTAACTAATTCCTCTTGATTTTTTTTTTCAATGCACAATAGATTGATAAAGATTATCACTCTCCATTCTTTTTTTACTTCTTGTCCTTGGAAGCTTGAGATGATAAATGTGTTTATTGCAAATAACTAAAACATTCTCCTCAACATTGACTTCAATTAATAGGCCACTTTTCTTGTTATATATTAAGGTTTCTTTCTCAATTTCTTATATAAGCTTCATTTGCTTACTTTTATTTATAGAGAGTGTCAAATCCTAGTTTTCAAGAAGTGGAAGACTTTGTATGATGCCTCTTATTAGTTAAAATAAGTATATCTCCCATAAAAGAGTTCAACTTTAGAATGTTCTTCCTAAAAAAAATATGAGATTGTTGAATATTAGCTCTCTAGATGGAATAACCATGGCATTTGCTAGCATCTTTATAACAAAATGAAGAGTTTTAGAAGATGCTTGAACAAGGTTCTTGACCTCTTGGACCTTATCCCAACCCTTATGGTCTTTTTTTAGTGGGACACTTTGAGCAATTGTTTTAGCTAGAGTAGGATTTTCTAGAGTAATCCTAATTTGCTTAAAATCATTCCCAAAATGCATATATTGAGCGCTCCATAAATAGGTATTTCAAACTCACAATTGATGACAAGTATATTATGTGTTCCTCAGAAAAATTATAACATGATATGAACTCTTTTATGGCATTAAATTGATTGATATGTGCTCAGAACTAGATGTCCAATAAAATGAATACTAATAGGATATTGCTTGAAAGAAAGCTCATATGGTATTCATTAATTCCTACAAGTTTAAAAAATCAAGTAGTATTAATGATGCTTTAGCGATAAAAAGAAATATTCTCCATTAGAATTATCAAATGTACTTGGTCTTAAAAAAAGATTTAATGGATTATGTTAGAGGGTTAATTATTATCAACATATTTCATAGACCTATGAAAATTAATGGAAGGTGGGTTGTTATAACTCAGAGATTTCCCTTAGCTATGAAAAATAAGGCTTATTTTGTTCTAAGGGATGGAGATTTTTCATAGAAGTAAGCCTCTTTAATTAATTACATTATAGGATGCTTGAGAATAATTTTGACCAAGCTGTTGTGCTTATTTTCTTTCTTCAATATATAATGAATTCAAATTTTTGAAAGAGTAAAAATATGACAAAAGGACAATTACTATAAGTTTTGAGGTTAATTAAACCAGAAAGTGAATATATGAACCAATAAAATAAATAATAAAACCTAAGGTTTTAGATTAAATAATGGTCATAACTCGAAGGAAATCATCAACGAGGTATTAGAGGATAATTTAACAATAAGGGTTCAAGGTCATAGTTAAAGAATTCTTTATCAAATAATTAGATTTTTATATCCTCCAATAAGATGCATAATAATTCAATAATAATATCCTAGTATGATGATTCTTGAAATGTCCAAGAGAACAAGAAAGGAATAAATTATTGGACATTATATTTATGAGTATGAGTTCACCTAGAGTCGAATTAGCTAGAGTATAAGTTTTTAGTGTGAGTTATCAATATAATTGATTCCAATATCCAAGTTGCCCAAGATATCATCCAAATGTGCCATAATAAGCTCACGCTTATTCCCATAAAGTTCCATTTAAATGTTGTATTAAAAGACTCATGAAATCTTATAAAGATTTTAAGGTTGGTTTGACTCATCTATAATATGGGTTACTAGGTGTGCACCTGACCTTGATGACCTCGGAGGTGGCTCTGTCAATTATGATTAGATATACAAATACAAAACAATCATTTATAGGAGCTTACAAGATCCATGATTGATTATTATGTTTGAAGTCTTTATTCCACAATTTTATTTCATCATGAATTACTAAACCATAGATTTTCATTTTGTATTCATTTGATAAATTGATTTTTGTATTTATGAGTTCATATTTTCATGAGCCAAAGTGTGAAGATGAAACTATCAAGTTCACCAAAAAATTAGAAGAGTGCTTAGAGATTAAATTGACTTTTATTTTGAATTAGGCCTCAACTAAAGTCAATAATCTAACCATAGAGAAAGTTCTATCTTATATCAAAATTAAATCGAGCAAACAATGAATAAAATTGGCTAATTTGAGATAAATCTTAAAATCAAATTTAATATAACTTAATGAACCTTTTCTCATTTCTAAGTTCATATTATTAAAGTTCATATCATCATCTAAGTAGTTCTCTAATAACCTTTTTTTTTCTCTAATTATTTAATATTAAAATATTAGTTATCTATTAACCTATTATTTTACTTATCTTATCAAATTCCTCTTTATATGAAATTCTCCAAACTTTAACCTAGAGATAAGAGCAAACTCAACAATTCCAAATGCTCTATTATTCCCACTAATGTTAGGCACAATGTAGTATCCCTCATTCTCATTCTCATTGTCATTAACCATCTTTCGTAATAGTTAATGAACTAGGGCTCTAAAAAATTGCAGTTTAAGAGATATAAGGACGAAAGGGAGAGCTCTCAACCTTGAACATAAGATCATTAGCCTCAAACTGCTTAACCATTTTCTCCATCGCACTCCCAGCTCTTTATGTGACATGAATAGTTTGATGCTTTTATACATGTATGATTAGAATGAATATCTCCATATATTGCAAAATAACTTAAATGAGTGAATATCATAAAAAGATATGACAACAAAACGAAACAGTTCGAACCATAATTGAACAATATTTGAATATTATTTTAACATTATTCCAAAAACGATCAAACTTTGTTAAATCATATTTGAATGTTATTCAAACTTAAAAACTTATTATTAATATATCATCAAAAGATTATCTTGATATGGCGCGACTCTTGAAGCAAAAACAAACTGGAAATTTCAAAAATTAAATTAGAGACCATCTGAACTCCAATTTCAACAAACTTACCGGCGAACTGAATATCTCAAAAATACGAACCCAAGGACATCAAATTCGACTCAATTTGAGCCCAAATGAATCCAAATCAAAGTCACGAAGCATATTTGGAGCCTTCAAATCATAATTTTGATTATCAAATGGTTTTCAAACGTGACATGCTTATAATTGAATCAAGCAGCTCAATGAGACGAATCCAACTAGCTCATGATCGTCAAATTCTGATATTATTAAGTCATTCAAATGCCCAATAAATGGTCCATGATCAAGGGATTCAACATCAGCCGTCCATTCAAATCACTCTCAATTTATCCTCGATTTTCCTCCTATTTACTAGTGATGCCACTCTCATAAACCTATAAATAGACTCCTCATTTCTTATGAGAGGGGGCCCAAGCAAGAAGAGAAGGAAGAGTTCTCTTGTCACCATACTCCTCATCGACCACCGTTGGACATCAACCCGACCACTGACTGTCGTTGAACTTCCGCTTGGCTACCGACTGACACTGGATTTCTGCCCGGTTACCAACTATTGCCAAATTTCTACCCATCCACCAATTGATGCCGGATTTCTACATGGCCACCAACTGATCCAGATTTCTACTCGGCCACCGACTAACGCTGAATTTCTGCCCGGTCACCAACTGACGTCAGACCTCCACTCGGCCGCCGACAGACACCATACTTCCACCTGACTTCCAATTATTCTTGAACTTCTACCCGACAACGGTCCTTTTGACATCCATTGTCAGATAACAGCCTTTACGACCTCCATCACTTGTCGACTACGGTCTTTTTGACCTCTATCTCCCACCAGAAAACGGTCCTTTCGACCTCCGTTGCTTGCCAACTACTGTCCTTCCAACTGCCGTCACCCAAATACAATCTTTTTGACCTTCGTCGCCCACTGACTATGATCCTGTCATCCAAACTAACATATCAATATTGATTCTTCCAATTTCCACATTGTAATGCGTTCTATATGATGTATATTTGTTAAAACAAGCCAAAACCTTCCCTCCGGTGAAGGGCATCATTTGTGATCAACTGTAAATACTAGTGATTTTTCACTTTTTAGGGTTTTCTACGTAAAAATTTTGGTCTCTTATAAATACTGCACCCTCTCTCTTATCTGATTGTGTGCTTGATCTATATTTCTCTATTGCCATGAATATTTCAGGACGCAATAATTATAACAAACTTAAAAAATAAAAAATAGCTTAGTCTACATTTTAAAATTTGATTTATATTAGATAAACTAAATTCCACCCTATCCGACGTGATATCTTTTTTTGGAATTTGATCCGATGTGATATAAATATTTATCAAGTTTATCACCAACATTGTTTTTATTATTTTGAAGAAGCGGTTCATAGCAGCTGATGCTTATCCTGCTCAAGTTCCAGATGACGGCCATAGGCCTAACGGATGGAAATAGTTTGCGGCGTGTGGACGAGCTCGCCGCACGCTTAGTTTAAGTTTGACACGCACGTCTAATCCAATGGGTCCCACGTACAAAGCACCTTCTTCTTTCTCTTCCTATAAATATAACTCGCCGGCCGGAAAATCGCTCGCGAGCGATTGCGGCGAGGCTTTCGTCTTTTCGTAGGAGGATTGGAGAGGTTGCTTACGGCCGGCCATGGATCCCTACAAGGTACTAACTACATGAGTTGTAAGGGTTCTTTTATTTAATCTTGTTCTTGTTCTGAATTTTTGCTTGACTTACATAATGGAGGACTTAAAATTTGTTGGTGGACATCGGAGGTTTCTTCTGCTGGTTTCGTAATTCTTTTTGTCTATTGGGGTCTTTGATTGCATGCATCGGGATGTAAGTTAGATTTGGGATGTCGGATTGTTTTTTAGTGGTGTTTTATTTGTGTTGCAGCATCGGCCCTCGAGCGCGTACAATTCGCTGTTCTGGACGACCAACTCCGGTGCTCCTGTTTGGAATAATAACTCCTCGCTTACTGTGGGCTCTCGAGGTAATTTGGTTATGTTGTCCTGGTTTGAAAATTCAGAATTGATTTTGTGATTTAGTTTATTGAGATCTGTCTTGTCGCTTTCTGCTTTTAGACTTCGTTTTATACCCTGTTTTGAGATCTGTGTGTCGTGGGGCCGGTTAATGTTTGTAATTGGGGGTTTATGCTGGTTATTGGCACCCTTTTGTGAATGCATTGTTGTGGGGCTTTGGTTCTTTGAGTTACCATCACCTGCTCAGAGTTGCCGATGCATGGTTTTTATCCTGTTATTACTTTTAGTGAAAGTAACTACAAATTTTACTTGATACAAAAAAAGTTGTTGCAATTTTTGAATAAGGGCCATTTCTTTCTCTTAGGTCGTTTTGTAAATGTACAGCAACCCTAAATTGATGAGTTTTCTTTAGAAAAAGGATTGAAATCTTATTAAAGTATTCTGTCTTGTATTGGTCACCATACAATGGATTCCTTGGATGGAAAGTCTTTTATATGAATATTTTGGTTGTGAACTGGTACATTGTATGACTGGAGAAAATATTCTCTTATTGTATACTGTTACTCTCTTGCATAACCGCAGTTTGATTTATTTTATTATCTTGCTGAGTAATTCATATCAGTTAGATCACAAAAATGTAATTGAGCTCTAATCAGTCAAATCTGATGAAAGTTTATTTGTAGCTACTCCAGTTATTCCTTTATTATATCATTCCGAATTGGGACTCCTGATACTTAAAATTTTGTTTTTGGATGGCTTTAGTCAAAGCCTTTGTCACGATTCATGAACTAGCATGTAAACCTAATTTGTACCTTAGATATGTCATAGTATGCTCTTAATAATTTGCGTGTTCTTATTTTTTTGTGTTAGTTCATGTCTATGTTTGATTTGCATTGGCACTTTCTAATTCAAGACTTTTATCCTCGATTTACGAAGGAAAGTGATGGACTAACATCTAGCAGCTGTGGTGTTGGACAATTACATCACCCGCGTCTATTGCTTTTGATAGCACTGTTAGAACAGTACTTGAATGTTAATAATTGCATTGTTTTAGATTGACGTCCTCTGATCCTTTTGCGTGGTTCAGAGTATGCTTTCTTGTGGATCCTTATTGCTTACATATTAATATGTTTTGAAGTGGTTTGAGGGGCTTTCTTGTTATGACGATCACAGCATTTTTTATTTCTTTGATAAGCCTTTCATTCTAAGAATTTCATAAGCATGCTTTATGATGTCGAATATGATATTTTGAAGAGTTTTCTTGTACTAATTATGAAACCATTTTTAGAAACAGTAGCTGACTACATTTTGTGATTAATTATTTTGTGTTATCTTCCATGCCATATTTATTATCGGTGAATGTATCAAAGATCGGCAATAGTGGTAGTCTCCATTAATTCTTTTACTGTTACATTTGGCATCTTAAGTTCTTGGGTTTTTAACCTGACATAGTTTATTTTGGATGTTAGAAAATGGCTATGAAAATGATTCATCTTAACTCTGTCCTGATTTATTTTTAATGTGTGCTGTAATTCTTTCATAGGACCAATTCTCCTGGAGGATTACCATCTTGTTGAAAAGCTTGCTCAGTTTGATAGGGAGCGCATTCCTGAGCGTGTTGTTCATGCGAGGGGAGCCAGTGCTAAGGGTTTCTTTGAAGTTACACACGATGTTTCTCACCTTTCCTGTGCTGATTTCCTTCGGTCACCGGGGGTCCAAACTCCTGTTATTGTTCGTTTTTCAACTGTCATTCATGAACGAGGGAGTCCTGAAACCTTGAGAGATCCACGAGGTTTTGCAGTAAAGTTTTATACAAGAGAGGTAGAATATTTATTATTATTTTTTTAACTATAGCCCTAATGTTTCTCCTGGAGATTTATCATGTTCGGCTAGTTAGTTTTCATACATAAAGTATTTCCTTGTAATGATTTAGGGCTAACTTCTTTACTTGTCTGAACTTTTGGTTTGACTTGAGCATCCCTATGAGAGGAATGGGAATAGGCAAGAAATGGATGGAATAAGACTACTATGACAAAACTTTGAGGGTAAACTAGAGTAAAAAATCTAATTTAATACTCATTGATATTTAACGGAGACAGTGATTCTTAATATGAACCTATCTATATTGGGATGTGGTTATGATTATAATGATGAGTCAAATAGGTTCCAATGAAGTGCTGTAAATCATTTGTAAATGGTAATGATGATACATCTGGTATTAATCAGCGATAACTATTTGAAGGAGTTGTGATGTTTTTGCACCTTTTGTATTTTATTTTGTTGCTTTTGTTTTTCTATTCACGAGAGGCTATCCATTGATTTTTTACTTCTTTGTATCATAAAGCTTGCCAGTCATGAAAAATTATAAGCAATACAGTAACATAACAGCATATATGTTTACACATTTGGTTGGTGGTGCATAGTCTACAATAATTAACATATCTGCAAATACATTTTGTTATTAACTTCACAACTATTACTTATCTTCATGTTGTCTTATTAGTACCATTGAATTTGATCGTGCTAATTTGTTGGAATTTTGCAGGGCAACTTTGATCTTGTGGGAAATAACTTCCCTGTTTTCTTTGTTAGAGATGGTATGAAGTTCCCTGATATGGTGCATGCTCTCAAACCAAACCCAAAGTCCCACATCCAGGAGAACTGGAGAATCCTCGACTTCTTCTCACACCATCCTGAGAGTTTGAACATGTTCACCTTCCTGTTCGACGATGTCGGTATTCCGCAGGACTACAGGCACATGGATGGTTCAGGTGTCAATACTTACACTCTCATTAGCAAAGAAGGGAAGGCACATTATGTCAAATTCCACTGGAGACCCACTTGTGGTGTGAAGTCCTTATTGGATGATGAGGCTGTGATTGTTGGAGGCAAAAACCATAGTCATGCAACCAAGGATCTTTACGATAGCATCACTGCCGGCAATTTTCCAGAATGGAAACTCTACATTCAGACTATTGACCCAGATCATGAAGATAGGTTTGATTTTGATCCGCTTGATGTCACCAAAACATGGCCAGAAGATATCTTACCTCTTCAGCCTGTGGGGCGCTTAGTCCTGAACAAGAACATTGACAATTTCTTCGCCGAGAATGAGCAACTTGCATTTTGTCCAGCAATTATTGTTCCTGGAATTCATTATTCAGACGATAAGCTATTGCAAACTAGAATTTTCTCCTATGCCGACACCCAAAGGCACCGCCTGGGGCCAAACTATCTTATGCTTCCTGCAAATGCTCCGAAATGTGCTCATCATAACAATCATCATGAGGGTTTCATGAATTTCTTGCACAGGGACGAAGAGGTAGTTTTTACTTCAAGTTCAGGACATCTTAATCTCTCTAATGTTGTATTAGGGTTATTAGATGCTGTGCTTGGTGTTAAATATTTGTCTTTTTCAGGTCAATTATTTCCCATCTAGGTATGATCCTTCTCGGCATGCTGAGAGTTTCCCAATACCGCCAACTGTTCTTAATGGAAGACGTGAAAAGGTGAGCATCTATGCAGGAGGAAACTCTTTTAATCCTATTTGCTGAAAGTTACTGCTTATCTCACATCTATGCAGCAGGAGACTTCTAATACTATTTTATGAAAGTTACTGCTGGTCTGAGTTCTGTCCAGTCACAAGCAGTTGATTAAAACCCGTAATTTTTCGGCGATATACATGTTATTTAAAGCTTATTCTAAAAATGGATCTACCTGTAGCACCCAAAAATATTCTTGCATAGCTTTTTTAAGCCCCTAAGTTGTGGGGAAATTATTCTGTGCGGAGTCCACGTACGCTGCCTACGCTCAGCGTATTTGTAGATATGTAACAAAGAAGCAGCAAATCCTCACAACTAACTATTTGTTGCTGATTTATTGTATATCTACAAATACGCAGTATATACACGTAGAGCTTACGCATAGCGTATGCAGTAATCTGGAAGATCCTTTACGTTTGGACTTCGCACAGAATAATTTCTCCTTGTTGTGTTTGCCATCAATATCTAATTATATATGCGGCAGTTTCAAATGGAAATATTTTGTTTACTTTCTGATACAAATTGTTTTGTCTTTTCTGTGGCTGTAGACTATTATTCCAAAGGAGAACAATTTCAAGCAGCCTGGAGAGAGATACAGGTCATGGGATTCTGACAGGTTTGTGCTTCAAGTCTAAAAGTTTCCATGAATACGCTTCTATTAATAGTCCTTATTTTCTATATATGAACTGCTCGTTGCTTTTCCAGGCAAGAGCGTTTTGTGCACCGTTGGGTCGATGCACTATCTGATCCTCGGGTTACCCACGAAATCCGCAGCATCTGGCTCTCATATTGGTCTCAGGTTAGAACTTCTTTTCTATTGCCTTTTTTTAGAGGAAAATTATTAGTTGCGGACACCGGATATAGAGATCCGTCCGGATATCCATTTAAAATGCGACACGTGGAGTGTGCTTTTGTTATACTTTTTTGTGCGCTGTACCTGTGCTTTAGTTGCGCTTTGTCTGCTCTTTTGTTGCGCTTTTTTACTGCGCTTTACCTGCGCTTTGGCTGCGTTTTTTTTGAGCTTGACTTAAAGTTCCGCAGACACATTAAATATATAAAGTACTTGAACGTGTCAATATTTTATTGGAGTCCGGACGTATGTCTACGTCCGGTGTCCGCATCTAATAATTTTCCCTTTTTAGAAGGCGAGTCCGATGTTGAGGCAATCAAGTCTTTTTGCTTAGTATCGTCTCAATCATATATTGTCCAGCTCGTAATTCATTTATGGCTAGACTTCAAATTTGCTTGCTCCAGCCCAATCAGCCTCAAAAGTTAACCTTTTAAGCCGATTTTGGCTTCATTTGGAATAATTTTTTTACTGTTTTTCATCGAGCATAAATTTTTTTTGAAAGTAATAAAAAAATTGGCTAAAAACTATCCCAAACAAAATCTTTGAAA